CAGAATTGTTCAAGAACCAGCCGATTTATAGTAATTCAAACAACTTTCAGCAGAAACAGAAAATAAATCATTTACCCTATAAAACTTAGCCCAAAAATTCTAAATATTTAACAAGACATATAAACATCACAGAGGCATAACATACTAAAATTTCAGTTCATTTGAATCACGAACCAATTTATTGAGCATTTTACAAGATTCTAACCAGAATTCACTTTATTTATTAAAAATAGCTACAGGTCTTTAAAAATTACGAAATTTTTACACAAGCCTAGTCATCAACAGAAAACATAATCCTCAAAATTTCAAGGCATTCCGAGCAGTGTGCGATTTTTAATAATTCAAACAGTAAATCAACAATAACCGGAATCGACAAATTCACGCATATATCGTAACAACAAATTTTCTCGCCCGAGGCCTTCTCATAAGACCAAGGACTCGACATTGTTCCAATATCCACTGACTTACACGAGTATCGAGGTCTCGTTCGATTTCTAATAATCGAAGAGATCCCCGAACACTTAAACGACACACACATAAATCACAATTCACATAATATCACGATTTTCACAAAATATCATATCGAACACATCATCGCACAATAATCACATCTCGCAAATCACACATATACGTAAATAACATACACAATTTAAATGAGACGGGATCGACTAGGTACCGTTCTCGGGAAAAGCTCGGAAAGACGGAACGAAAAGACGAAGGCGAGCTCGCGGTGGCTAGCGGCGGTGCTCGGCGGCTTTGCTCGACTCGTGGAGGAGGTCAGCGGCTCGGAATCGTGGACAGAGGCGCTGCACGGCGTCCAAGGTTGTCGCTGAGGTGTTCCGACGTGAAGAGGCCGCTCGACGAGAATGGTCACCAGAATTGCTGCTCGAACGGGGGACGCCGGAATCTCTGACGAGGAGGCTGCTCGTGAACAGGAATCTCGCGACGGCTCACCGGGATTGCTGGGCTGCGGCGAGGGTCACGGACAGAGAAGGTTCAACGTCGGGAGTTCGTGGACTGCTCGCGAGAGGGTCAGGCTCGCCGGAAATCGCGAACAGAGGGGCGGCCGGAAAGCTGCGGGAGTTGTTGTGCGTTGGTGATGGTGGCGCCGACCTGCTCTGAACGAAATCCCGTGAGGGTGATGACGGGAGTGGCGATTGGATATGATGGTGATGAGAGGGTCGCGATCGGGGAGGAGAAAGAAAAAGAAATCTGTTTGAGGGATGAAGAACACGATGATGGTTTGGGATCGATCTCTCTGTCCTGCTCAAACGCGATCGAGAGATTATTCTCTGCTCAAATTGCGCGATCGAGTGAAAGAAGAAAAAGGCTGCGGGCGATTTATCTGACCTTGAGAAAAAAAAATGAACGAGCGTGATAAATACATAAGACTATCCTTATCCCCAACCCAACTCAACCCAATCTAATAATTAAAAATTATTTCTCTCTCCTCCACCTATACAACTCAACCTTACAATTAAATTTATCTATATTCCCAACCCAACTCAACCTAAATATTTATTTTATTTTAATTTATCTAAAAAATACAATTGTGTTCCAAAATATATCAAGTGTGGTCTCTATTTGTAGAGAATAAAAAATATAAATTTTAGTATTTATTTTTTATTTTTTTAAAACAAAAAAAAATATATTTGACCAATAAAAAAGGGACAAGTGTCCACTTTTAAAAAGCAACCGGTTGCAACCTTGGGTCACATTGTGACCTCGGTTGCACAACCTATTGCTTTTCTTTTTTATTATATTTTTTTTTTTTGAGTTTTTAATCGGTGACCCACTCTTTGGGGTCACCAATAAAAGTAGTCTAAGGGCTTAGGGTAAAAAGTCTTGTCTTGTAAAATAAGACACACACAACACATACACGCGGTCGGGCGGACCGGGTTCGCGGATCGGGGTTGGTTCAATGAAGCGATTCGGCTCTCGGACCCGACTAGACGTAGCTTTAATTCATCTCGGAAATTAAATTGCCAAAGAAATAAATAAACCGGACATAATATATATTTATAATACACATAATTTAATTTTAAAATAATAATATTAATAAAAATACAAATATACATTTAATTAGATAATAATAAAATTTAGACAATTAGGCAATTGCTACATTTTGACAAATAAATCATATTTGACATTTAAAATTTTTAGCATTCAACAAATAATAATAACAACAAATAAAGATAAATAATAATAATAATAATAATAATAATAATAATAATAATAATAAATAATTCTCAAAATTTCCATAATCAAACGGAGCATTACAGACAATCTCCCTATCTCAGTGGCCAGCGTGCTCCTTCTCTTGCTCACGTAGAAAAACACGACTCTCTGTCTTTGAGAGTGGCATGTATTTTTGTGTGTTCTCGCTTGAGAATTAAACGCCCACATGGTTTATTTATAGGCTACAACAATGATTTTAAGGAGGTTGGGATTAGGTCTCCCAATAGGAATGGGAATACTTGGGTTATGGTCAACCCTATTCATAAATCTATTAATAATAAATCAATCCACTATATATTTATTATTACACTACTTTTTCCAAATCCAAATTACTTGGGCTCCACTATATTCGATTTATCTCCCCGTATTTAAAATATCGAACGTCTATTAATTAATTTAATTACTAAAAGTTTAATTAATTATTTTTTTTTTCCGAAACTAGTACCACTCAATCTTATTATTACGCCAAAACTTAATTCACCTGCAGGGTTCAGCAATAACAATTCTTTTGAGCTCATCTCGATAATGTCATCACCCTGGTGCACTAGGACACAGTGACTGAATATAATCAATAGCACACCATGTGATAAATAATATTTCCTAACTCACGAGCACGTCGACTTAAAAATAAGTCTCACACTTAGATGAACTAAAGAAACATTATTAATCATACGTGCCCGTTATTATTTCCGAGTTTACAATACGAGTGATCTCATGAGGTCTAGTTTATTTACTGGGTCAGTTCTCTCCACGGTCCTATTCAATATACACAAAGTGTACTAGCATAATTCATTATTCATGAAAAACTAACATCAAATTATACTATAACCGTATCAATAGGTTTGTCCATTATTGTCTCGACTATGAACCTTATTTATATTGTACAAGAAAACGATAATATAATCCTTTGTGTGATGATGTCACACTATATTTTATACAACGTCAATAGTATGACAAGTTGCAAATTCATATATAAAGTAAACTGTGAACACATTGACTAAACCTGATTTTTTTATTCAAAATGGAAAAGGTTACGATAGCCCACCGTATTTTAACCAATTACAAAAATTTGTGAAGCCAAAAATGAAACTCGACATGTACGAAACTAAACAAGTAATTCGGGCAATAATAACATACACAAGATCTTGAAAAATCGAGTTAAGAAATCTATTCTACTATGTCGCGCTCGTACACAAATAATTTACATTTGATCTAATCCAAACATTGGACAAAACTTAAATTAACCTTGACTCTTATACCAATTGTTGGGTTCAATGAAGAATGCCAATCAATGGCATGTTCGTTCACCTGGTAAACTAGTTAGTTTTATACTAAAAGCTTGGTTTTGTTATGAAGTTATTTCCAATTTTTGATAGAAAATCATGTTTAGTCAAAATTGTGTGTTATTATTTTATTTGTGTTAAATAGTACTATGGTTTATCGTGTTGAACAGGAGATCATATTATAGGTTCCTAGTAAAAATTAAATTCGGTTCACAACCAAGATATAACTACACAAAGTATTGTTAACAGTTGTAGTGTAATTTTGTAATTAGTTGATTTTGACTAATGAACTACACCAATATACTTAAAGTGTTCTGGACAAGATCACATAGGGTAAGTTCATTTTATACTGAATATATAAGTGAACTTGGCCTTGGTTATTACTCGTTTGGATTGTCCAAACATTCGCCAAACAATGTTTGCAAATCCAACAATCTTTGAGTTACTTAAACTCAAATCCAATAATCTTTGGATTGTCCAAACATGACTAATTCTCTCGAGTGAGTGATGATTCCTTCGTTGAAGGTGAAGATACCCTCGGTGAGTCGGTGAGGGAAAATTAGCACTCTATCAACAAATTAAGCTTTCTATCAGAAAATTAAGCGTTCTCATTTGGTTTATTAGGGTGAGAAGCACCTAGGATTCATAATGATAGGGCAATGATGGCAGAAAATGAGGGAATTTCCAGAATTGAGGAGAAAATGGCACACGTCTTAAAAGTTCCACTCTAGCGGGAACTGAAAATGAGGTGATTGATATTGCTAACGAGGACATTCGGGTGAGTGCGGAGGAATGTAGTCGAAGCTTGGTAGGGAAAATCATGACAATCGCCAAGCATTGCTGTTTGGTCTAAAGAGAGCTCTACCAGTTATTTGGAGAATTCAGTATGGTTTGGAGGTAAGGGAGCTTAGCCCCAACTTGTTTCAATTTATTTTCGAGAATCGTGGGGATCTAAATAAGGTTCGGATTGGCACCAACTGGATTTCGAAAATCTATTTGATACTACAAGAATGGAGAAAAGGAATCAAAGCAACTGATTCCTTTTCAGACGTCTGGGTTCAGGTTTATAATGTTCCTCTTGATTGGCTAAGCATGGAAGTGGGTCTCAAAATTGGGAAGGTGTTCCAAGGAGTCAAGAATGTAGGGATAAGATCTACTGTTGGGGCAGGAGGCAGAATTCTTAGACTTTTAGTGTCAGTAGATACTAATAAGGCATTACCCCGATGTGCTACCATAAGACTTGGTGATCAGATTACAACAGTCAGTTTCAAGTATGAGAGGCTTGTCAACCTCTGCTACTACTGTGGAGATATTAGTCATCTAGATAAAGACTGCCAACTCAAAATGGGGGATATTGCTAAAGGTGAAGTCAAGAATGGACAATATGGAGATTGATTAAAGGCCGGGGAGGTTAGAGCAGCCAACAATTCCGGACAGCAAAGCAAATCCACTGAAAGGGAATCAAAACCTGCATCAGACATGAATCAGCCAAATCACCAACATACTGAGATATACTCTAAAGGAATTGGGTTGCTCACTGACAGGCTGGTAGACTCAAACCCACTGCAATCTCATTTGCAGAAGAACCCCAGTTTGGTGGAATCCAGCTCCTCAGGACAGGAAATCCAAAGCACAAATGGAATCACACATCTTAAGGAAACAGTCCCTACAAATCTTGGGAAAGAGATAGTAAGCTAAGATGAGTCAGGTCAGGATATTGCAGTTGAACTGGGGCAAAAGGAAATCAACATTGGAGGTCCCCTCTCACTGATGACAACCGTTATCACAGATTTCCCAATGGATTCTCAACAAACTAAGCTGAGGACCTGGAGAAGAACTGGCACCAAAGAGGGCATGCTTCTAAAAAACCACAGTGAGAACATGTCAATTCAATCCCAAGGAGTAAAGAGAGGCAGACAAGGAGGCACAAACATGAAGCCAGCTGATGAACAATTAGTAATAGTAGCATTAGAATCAAAGAAGATTAAGCACCATGCTGCATAAGTGGAGAAGGCTTGCCGAAAGTGTCCCCAAGGTGAACACTAAGACCTGTAGTGTGGAACTGTAGAGACCTGGGTGGGGCCTCAACAGTTTCCTAGCTGAAGGATTCCTTAAGATCCTATCACCCACGTTTTATCATTCTGTCAGAAACAAAAAAATTCAAGATTCTTTACCTTAACAGTCTGCAAGTGCCTTATTGAACTGGAGCAGACATTTCAGATCAGAGCAGGTGACAAAAATCAAAGGGATATCACTTAGACTTGAAGAGATAAGAGAAGCTGGGGGCAACAGAGATTGGGAGGAATGGGATAGTCTGCAAAGGAAAATGGATGCACCTATCCAAACAGAGGAATTCTACTGGCAACAAAAAGCCAGAACCCAGTGGCTAAAGGATGGTCCAACAAAAAGCCAGAACCCAGTGGCTAAAGGAAGGTGACCAGAATACACATTTCTTCCATGCTTGGGTGATGCAAAGAAGAAGACTCAATGCTATAGGTAGACTTGTCACAGAACAACATAGGGTTTGTGAAACTAAGGAGGATATTCAGAGCCACATAGAAAACTTCTACAATAAATTGTTTACCTCTGAGGGATCTACTGGAGGGTAGAGCTTACTTCAAGATGTGCCTCACACTATCTCAGATGCAGTCAATGCAGATCTTCTTGCTCCAGTGAAAGAAGCTGAAATCAAGCAAGCCCTGTTCTCAATGAGTCCAAGTAAATCTCAAGGCACTGATGGTATGCCAACTTATTCTTTCAACACTATTGGCCCCTTGTGAAAAATGATATTTGTGAGGCAGTGTTTAGTTTCTTTCACTCTGGCAGGCTTTTAAATTATTGGAATCATACACTGCTTACCCTTGTGCCCAAATGTGCAAGCCCTAACAATCTTAGCCAATTTAGGCCCATAAGCTTATGTGCAATTGTTTACAAATTGATTTCCAAAATCTTAGCTGGGTAGACTAAGAAACTGTCTCAATGAGTGTATTCCTGAAGCCCAATATGCTTTCTTTCCTGGTAGGCAACTAACAAATAATGTGGTGATTGCAAATGAGGGGATACATTTTTTAAATAGACACCATTCTGGCAAACACACTTATATGGCTATCGAACTTGACATGATGAAAGCCTTTGACATAATAGAATGGCTATGCATTAAGCTGACTATGCTTAAAATGGGGTTTGCGCTTCAATTTGTTAACTGGACCATAGAATGTGTATCTACTGTGTCCTTCTCTTTTATACTTAATGGAAGTATCTATTGATATATCACTGCACAGAGAGATATTAGGCAAGGGGACCCCATTGTCCCCTTACCTATTTATTATTGTGTCTCAAGTGCTTTATGCCATGATTACTATTGTTGAGGAAAGAGGGGTTTACAGAGGACTGTCACTGGACAAAGAAGCACCTACACTTACTCATCTGCTGTTTGCAAATGATTCACTGTTGTTCTCTAAAGCAGATGAATTTCAAGCCAGTGTGATCAAATCTATCCTTGACAGATACCAACAATTTTCACGCCAGAAAGTCAACACAGCCTATATTTTTCAGCAAGAACTCCAACACTCAACTTCAGTCAGCAGTTTCTCAACTTTTCCCTGGAATTCAATTACCGAAATCATCCAGATACCTAGGCATGCCTTTGGGGATTGGCCAATCTAAGAAGGAGATTTTTGGTTTTGTGACTGATGCAGTGAGAAATAGGGTACTTAGCTGGAAGAACAAATACCTGACACCTGCTGTAAAAGAAGTACTTATGAAGTCAATACTGAATGCACTTCCCCTCTTTGTAATGTCATAATACAGATTGCCAGTTGCCATATGCAAACAAGTGGTTGGTATCTTTGCAAACTTCTGGTGGAGGAACGTCAGTAACTCCTCTAGTGGCATTCATTGGAAAAGATGGGATCTCCTGACTTTTTCCAAAAAATAGGGTGGTCTAGGCTTTAAAGACATCTCACTCTTCAATGATGCTATTCTGGTAAAACAGCTCTAGAGACTGATAAACAAAACCACAACTTTTGATGAGCAGGATATTGAAGCACAACCGAAACAAAACTCTTCATGGCTTTGGAGATCCTGGTTAAAAGTTTGATGGCTGCTACAAAATGGTCTGAGTATTGAGATCAATAATGGAAATACTGTCAGATAGCAGGACTTCCACTGGGTTCCAAGTATCAGAGGCAGATCCCTAACGTTCAAAGCAAACACTGATAAGGGGAAGCTGGGGGTGAGTGAGCTGTTGGATGAGGATAGTAGGTGGAAAGAACACAAGCTCAGAGAGGTGTTCGCATGCGAGTCAACGGTCGGCCGCGCGCAAGCCTCCCGTCTCTCAGCACGGTCGTACGTGCTCGGCCACCACTTCGCGTGGCTACACCCAGTCTGGGTCGGGATTTGGTCCAGGTTTTCACAAGGAATTACAATTCAAGGCTACCAAAAAGGAATGATCTTACCAAATTTCGAAAATTTTGGGGTCAACAAAACAATATATATTTCAGGCGTTTCTCAATTTCAAAAGTTTCAAAAAGCCTCAAGAATAGCAAGGTGCAAGTTCGAGTTCCAAGTCCACCAACTTTCTAAATTGACAAAACGCAATACGCCACAAATCTAATAATATGAGAAATCCCAAAGAACTCTCATGACGATTCTCCCTAAGTCAGCGGCTTCTGCCGAGACATTAGATAGATAGCTCGCCTCGGCTCTTCCGACTAACAGCGCCGGCCGACACATAAGCTCTTCGTCGGGTAGCTATTCGTGTCAGCAGTCCTAAACGAGCGCAACTCACTTTCCAATCTTCACACTTTGGAATTTGAACGCGAAGTTTCTCCCGGGATTCCAAAAGGAGGAAAAGAACAAAAATTTTAAGATGAATAAAATTTAGAATAAGGACGGTTCTGCACTGCGCGATGTGCTTGCTTCTGAATCTACTATCCTCCTTAAAAGACTTCTGCATAATCTTCTAAGGTGGAAAAACACTCCATCTTCCTATCGAACTGATTTGTGCTGGCTTCAGTTCCTGTGTGTTTATCTCGATGCCGAGCGTGAATAATTATTGTCCCCCTAGAGGTTAGGTTATTCACAAAAGTGGCGATAGAAAAAAAAATTGCCCTCGAGTCTTCATGATATTTTAACGATGGCATTCGAACGAAACTCTCATACTTCGCAAGAGAATAAGGATAAGCAGAAACAAAAAGAGATGCTTATTCTCACTTGAAATCAGGTTTTTCAAAACAAAGTTAACTCCCAACATAGGATAAACCAGAATTAGCTAAACATCAAGAGAAGCGAGTTTTAAAGTTGGGAAGCTTAAAATAGTTTACACAGCGTATCAAAAGTAGCGGAAGATCAAGCGAAATCCTCAAATTACGAAATTTGGTTAACAAAAAGAAGCCTCAATCACACTTCAAAATCGTTGCCATGTGGATGGGAAAAAGGTTTGCAAGAGTATACAAGAAGACAAGAATTAAAGAAAGGCAGCACGACTGCTTCGTCTTCACGAGTCCACGATTCACTGTTTTCATCATCGGTTCAAGCTGCTCCCTTCGTTTAAGCCTTCTCCTTTCGAGATGGCTCGCGAATGGTGTAACGCCCCGTTTTATTTTAAAGAATTTATCGAATTTATTTAATAAAAATCAGGGTTATTTTTTTTTTATACAAGCTAAAACATTTATCGAGAAACGGGCGCTACTTATTAACCACAACAAATAAACACACTCAATCAAACAATCTAATGAACCTACACATGCTCGAGCTATCAAATTGACAATCTCATAAATCATAAATTTCCAAATCATTCCCTTAAATTCATAAGTCTCAAAACATTCAAATAGGTCTAGCATGAAACAAGGTTCAACCAAAACTTAAACATAATTCAAAAACGGAAGCAAGAATTAATCCAAAGTATGAAAGCAAATAATTAAGTAACAAGTTCATGCGCAACACATAATCAGCATACGAAA